TCATTGTTTAATCTTATGAAATTTTTTCATGAAATTGTTTAATCTTGTGAAATTGTTTCATATAATACTTTTTTTGATGAAGTTGTTTCATATATGATTGTGAAATTGTTTCATATATGATTGTGAAATTGTTTCATATAATACTTAATGAAACTGTTTCATGTATTTCTCTAAAATTARAATAATGAAGATGATAATATCTATGATTAACACTCTCCACAATAAAAATGATTAATCAACCTCTCATAATTACAAAAAAATGAAAAAAATGAAAAAATTATGATTGGTTGAATGCGGTTTGCACGGTTTGTACAAATTGAGTGGTTTGCATTTGATCGCTCCCCTATATATATATATATATATATATACTTGGGATCATGTGAGACCAATGGTTTTTCATGAGACCCGTAAGACCAATACTCAACCCTTGGATTAGATCTACAATCTGAACATTCATAATCACAAAATTGTCACGAGACTTTTCAATAATCACAAAATTGCCACTGTGCAACTTTAGACCATTAGATCATTAGCTTATAAAGTTGATCAATAAACATAAATTGGTCTTACGGGTCGCACGAAAAACTTTTGATCTCACGTGAACCCAACCATATATATATATATATATATATATATATATATATTACTCTATTTAAAATAAAAACTCACAAAAACCTTCTAATTAACATGGGATGAAAAATGTATATATTTACAAAAACCAAAATAAGTAAATAATGATTTTTTATTTTCGTTTCTATAATTTTAAAAATAATGATTTTTGCTCCATGATTTAAACTTTATCGTTTTTTCCTGGTCGTTTATATATCAAGTCTATTATAGTCTCTCATGCTTAAAATAGTAGTTAGTCTCAGGACGAAAATAGAAATTAATTGCAAAATATAGGTATGAAAACCGTAATTTCAAAATTACAGGGACAACATCCGTAATTTTAGTAAACCACAAGGATTGAAAACGTAATATACTCAAATATTAAATTAACATATCCGGTGGTTGGTTAATAACCTAACCCAATGGGCCCACGATATACACGTGTGATTGGGAGATTGGCAACTTTAGCGTGGAATTACACGTCAGATCATTTACACAAAACTTGCACACAAAAATTACACGATAACGCGTCCAAGAACACAATCGCAAACCCATCACATCCCACCATCAGAGTTCTCCTTCGAATCCCTTGAAATCATCCCAAATTTCATATTCATATATACACATTGAGTGTGTGTGTATATACATATTATATATATAAATCACACAATCACACAGTGTAATCTGTAATGCGATGATGAAGGTATTGAAGATGGTCTCAGCAATGGACTTGGTAGCATGGAGAGGGTTAGTGTTTGTATTCATCCTCCAGTTCGTATTTGCTTGCCAAATCATCTTTCCGCCACTTGTTTCTGCCCTAGGTAATGTGATCCTGAATCTTTTATCTTGTGTTTTGTATGTGATTTTGTGTTTTTCAGTTGAAATTTACGTTATACTCGGAATCAGATCAATTTATAAGCTTTCAATGCGTGGCTACCTTGAATCCGATCAAATATAATGGTTATCCGGTTGTTGATGTGTGTTCTCCGTGAAATTGTTTTTACATATGTTAAACGTACTGATCAAGTGTTTTGGGGGATGAGAATTTTGAGATTTCGAATTGGTATTATACAGTGATTCAAAATATCATTCCAATTCGATTCCTACGCCAAAATACACGCTAATTTTACTAAAATCAAGTCTTAATTGTGGAATGGAAGGGACTTTAAGTTTCAGCTTGTTAAGGGTTTTATTAATGTTTGTTGGATTTGATGATATTAGATGGTGTTTGCTTTCTCTATGTTGTTTATGAAGTTATGATGTTGAAGCGGTTAGTTTTTAGCGTTACTGTTGTTTTGGATATTCTGTGATCACCATTTTACGTCGCAAAAAGAATGTAACCCCCTCCCCCCATACACACACACAAAAAAAAATGCAAATAAGGTTCAATGCAAGGGGCTGTTTGGTTGGTTTTCCATCAAGTCCTGTATGGATAAAGCTGTCGATAAAGCTGTCTCTGTGGATTAATATAGATTGTGAAGGTTTTTGATCGGAGGGTTTTTTCGGGAGCAGGTTTGGAAAAAACTTGGCTTTTAGCATAAAGCCCGCCCTAAAAGCTTACTGAATTAACCACTTTCTATATCATTAAGCCACTGCCCAACAGCCATGTATAGCTGACCGAATAAGCAATACATATTTCGGTGTTTGTTAGTAAATAGTCAACGGCTTGTTATCAAAATCCCAAATGGAAATCTGAGGTATAAGACGGTCGATTGCTGAAGACAATACCGAGGTGTTTTATATTTTGATTTGTACGTAAAATCCAATGTTAGACCAAAATTAAGAAGATATTGTATCCCCTCAAGTTCTGAGACTCAAAAGGTAGTGCCTTGAGTTGCTTCTCATCAAGCGACGCATGCATGTTTATAGAGCATTCTGTTCATTGACCAACATTGCACAACTGATTCTTAGCATTTGTGGCATGCTCATCCAGATGGGAACCCTATTGATGCTGCTGAATTATTTGAGAGAGCTTCACATAGTATACAGATGAAACGTTATAGCGAGGCAATCAATGATCTTAACGCTGCATTAGAGGCTGAACCGTCACTTTCTGAAGCATATTGGAGTCGAGCTTCAGTCCTTCGCTATCTGTGCAGGTTCTTCTTTGAACTTCCAGTACCTACTATAGTATTTCCAGCAGAGAGATTGTTTCTAATTGGATTTTCATCTGTTTGGGAATTATAAATTTTTGGGATCCCTGATTGGTTCAATTCCTATGACTAATAAGTTGATTTCTTATTTCTATGACATTGAGTTTGTCCTATAAGGCTATAACTGCCATTTGGCTGAATAAAGTTGTTTTGGGCTTGAAAATTTAAGAAGCCTAGAGCAGGTATGAGGCAGCAAGACAAGATTGTCAACCATGTGTGACAAAGTAGAGCATCTCCAACAGCTAGGCTAAAATGGAGAAAAGAGGGATTTTAGCCATTTTTTGCTCCAACAACTATGCTATCTTGTATGCTAAAATAGAGAAAAGAGGAGAGATTGTAAAAATCTCTAAATTTAGAGAAATCTCTAAATAGTGAGAGAAATTATTTTTTGAATACTTCCCACCAATAAGATGGATTGAAAATAAATGTTTAGGATAGAGAAATAATATTTTATTAAATGTATTGGATATTATAATAATAAATTTAATGTTAGAATTGCTAAAATAGAGTAGCTGTTGGAGTTGAATGTAATTTTTTTGGAGATTTTGATTTTTAATTCTCCATTTTAGAAAAATATAGTGCAACTGTCAGAGATGCTCTTAGCAATCCATTTTCAGTAATCCCATTAACATAAAAATGTGAACCATGCATTGAAAAGTTGTAACCTGATTATCATTTCAAGAACAACTGAAACAAGTTTTCACATAGCTCCTGATTAGAAACTTATATGATTCAGGGGATTTTTGGCTAATGTAGATATGAGGAATCAGAGAAGAGCTATAGAAAATATCTTGAAATGAAACCTGGAAATTCGGTCGTGGAGAAGGAGCTTTCTCAATTGCATCAAGCGCAGAGTGCTTTAGATACAGCCATCAATCTTTTTGAGTCAGGCAATTATACTACTAAAGCTTTGGATTTTATCGATAAGGTGGTACTTGTTTTTTCTCCTGCATGCTCACAGGTAATGACTCAAATATTCCAACATTATGAAGTAAACCTGCCTAGTTATTTTATTTATTGTTTTTCTTCTTCTTACTAGAAAATGTATCCTAAAAATAAACCGACCTGTGGCAGGCTAAACTACTGAAGGTCAAGCTACTATTAGCTTCCAAGGACTATTCAGGGGTCATTTTGGAGACAGGAAATATGCTTAAAGAGGATGAGGATGATCTAGAGGCGTTGCTGCTCCGTGGTCGTGCCTATTATTATTTAGCTGATCATGATGTTGCTACAAGGTTATTTTAATGGCACAATTATAATCTGAAAAGAAATGAAACAGAAAAAAAATGAGAAATGGATTAGAAAACTACCTCCGTCCCAAAATAATGCAATGTTTTCTTTCCAAAGACTTATATGTCCATTGACAATCAATACAATGATATTAGTTCTATTTTACAAGCTCTATTATTTGTCTTGGGATATCTTACTGTTTTAGGTACTCGATCATTAGTCAAAAACTTTACTTAAACTGTGTGCCAAGTCAATCGTTGCATTTTTTTGGGGGATGGAGAGAGTAAACTTTCTTAGATGTAACGTTTTCTTATCATGGATGTTTGATTTTTTTTTTCTCAGGCACTACCAGAAAGGGCTCCGCCTAGACCCAGAACACGGTGAACTAAAGAAAGCGTATTTTGGATTGAAGAATTTGCTAAAGAAGACCAAAAGTGTATACCAAAGAAACTATTAGTGGCCAACCAGCCCTTTGAGTTTTCTTTACCACCCTTTTTACTTTGTTCCAGTGCTCAGAATTTTGTCTCTAATTGCAGGCAGAAGATAATGAAAAGAAGGGCAAGCTGCGTGTTGCTGTGGAAGACTACAAGGCAGCCCTTGCTTTGGACCCTAACCATCATGCATATAATGTGCATCTCCATTTTGGTTTGTGTAAACTATTGGTTAAGCTTGGTAGGGGAAAGGATGCTCTAAATGCTTGCACAGAAGCTCTTACCATTGATGAAGAGCATGCTGAAGCTTTGGTTCAGGTTCTCTGTTGTAATTATTTTAATGTCTACCCTCAGTATTACATGAGGTGCAACTTACTCTGAATGCTTCTTTGCTTATTGGAAGTGGTGTAACTGAATTGTAGTGAACTCTTTTCAGAGGGGTGAAGCGAAACTATTAGTAGAAGATTGGGAGGGAGCTGTTGCAGATATAAAGTTAGCTGCTGAAAAATCACCCCAGGTTAGCTTTTTAATAATGTAGACCAATTCTATCAGAATCTCTTCACAATAACGGTCTTCCATATCATATGAAGAAATGGAACAGGGTTCGGTATATATAACTTAAAACAGGGAAGCCATTATATGGCATGCCTTTTGGTTTTGGATATTGTTCATGTCTAGATATTGGTTAATATCTTTCTTTTGAAATGTATGTCTCCTCCCACATACTATCATCTCTTTCGCTCACACTGCATGAAGTGTTGTTATGTACTTGAAAACTGGTGGTGTCTCCTTAAAATGGTTCAATGTTGCATAAAGTAGTCTAGCATAAAATGGTCTTTCTTTTTTCCCTTCTCCGTAAAGCGAATACTATTTGCCAATTCTCCGTTATGAGATTGTGCAAGTCGAATTTTTTGTTCTAACCAGTAAAAAGCAGTCAGATCTGTTCTCTCATGATTAGCGAGTTGTTTGTCTTTCCTACTGTCCATATCTTACTTATGTGAATCTTTAGTTTTTTCCTGCTCTTACCGTATGTCAGTCTGTTTTTCTTCCTGTTTGTTTTATCATACGCCTCTCTGTGTCCCCGTTTTCTTTTGTGTTGTAGCGTGTTTTCACACACTTACGTTTTTATGCTACTTTTCTCAATTATATTCTCGTATATTTGTTTTGCAAGCCAAGGATCTTCACGGAAACAGCCTCTCTACCCACAGACCCTATCTTGTGTGAGATATACTGGGTTTGTTTGGTTTATCTGTTGTCCATGATGGGGATCACATGATTCAGGTCAAATATTAGAATGTTGATTGTGTTTGATTTGATGGTCAGTTGGCTAACAATTCCATACATCTAACAGAACACATAAATTGATATTATACTTTGAATGGAGTTGTATAACAATGGCTCTTGTGGCTTCTTGGATTTCTAGTAGAGATTATAAACTTGCAACTTTCTTAGAGGCTGTTTGGTTGGTTTTCCATTAAGTCATGTATGAATAATGTTGTCTGTGTGGATTAATCTGTCCGAATAGATGAGGAAGGTTTTTGTTTGGGAGGTCTATGTTTTTTTTTAATTGGGAAGGGCAGGTTTGGAAAAACTTGGCTTTCTGCATAAAGCTCCCTCTAGAAGCTTACTGAATAAGCCACTACCAAATAGTCATGTATAGCTGACCGAATAAGCTGTGATCCCATTAAACTCATTAAGCTGCTTGTTAGCAGACCCTCTCTCTCTGTATATATTTGTATATTTGTAAGATTTTGTTCAATAACATGCCAATTTTGAAAGGACATGAGCATACGGCAAACACTTATGAAGGCGGAGAAAGCTTTGAAATTAAGCCAAAGGAAGGATTGGTACAAGATTTTAGGTGTTTCAAAGACTGCATCTGTATCGGAGATAAAACGAGCTTATAAAAAGCTGGCTTTGCAATGGCACCCAGATAAGAATGTTGACAATAGAGAAGAAGCAGAGAACAAATTCAGGGAAATAGCTGCTGCATATGAGGTTCTTTCTTCACTCTCATTGTCTTTAATTTCCCAATCTTCTATTATATTTAAGCACAATATTTTCTTGTTTGGGAAGTTTTTCATTTCAACTTAGTTATCAACCTTCCATCATCTCATATATTTATAATATTGGGTCAGGTTCAGGTGAAAATTGCAAAAAAAAAACAACAACTGAGGAATACCTTAGTAGCCGTTCATCTGGACGATATGCACATGTGCATACAAATAATTTCTAAGCAATATGTATGGTATACACAAGTGCATAATATGCAAACGTGCATAAAAACCAATAAACAACTTCAATTACGTGTATACACATGTGCATACTGTCCGGATAAAATGTTACGAGAATGTTCTTCAGTTTTTTATTTTTTTAGGGTTTTTATTGATCTGGTCTAATAGGGGTATTTGTTAAATGGTCAAACAATTTGCTTGGTCAATGTGCCATTTTTCTGAAGTATAATATATATATATATATATATATATATATATATATATATACAAAAATCAACTCATGCACCCTCTTTACCTTTGTTGAAGTTTGAACCTCTGACCTTATTCTGGAATTATGTGAGAACAAATGAGTTTGGTGACAACACTTTTGACCTTTGGATGAGTTTTTCTTATCATCCGATGGCTCAAAAATTACACGTATCTTCATCCACCTTCATGTACCATCAGTCACTTTCACATGCATGAACTTATTAAAGTTTTAGTCATGATGATACAAGTCAATATGCGTGAAAGCACGTGAGAAGGTCCGGTGTTCGTCGTTCTCACCAAAAAAATGGCTCTCACCAAAACCCAACCCTATTTTTCCATTCTCTTAAAAAAAATGCAGCATTTTCTTTTTTTAGGGAACAAAATCATGTCAAATTTACCCATTTGACCCCATAGTTTCCATGACAAAAAGTTGAGTTCGAGTATAAACCAATTCAGAGAAACCCAATATATTTCGACGTAGGATCTGGGGGTAAAATGTATGCAAACCTTTCATCTGTATCAAGAGGCAGATAAGTTTTTTTTCAAGATTTTGATCAATATGTTCGATCTTATGCTTCTGATACCAATAATGTTTGCTAATTGTAGATTCTCGGGGATGAAGAAAAGCGTACGAAATACGATCACGGGGAAGACGTTGAAGAGGGCATGAACATGGGGGGCGGTGGTGGATTCAACCCATTTGGTGCAAGCGGTTTTAGTAGCGGTGGTGGTGGTTTCACATTCCGTTTCGAAGGCGGGTTTCCGGGCGGTGGCTTCCGCATGTAACTCGCAAATTTGATGAATTCAACTAACTTAACGACGGAGTTTTTGGTTGCTTGCAAGGCAAGTTTTGGGCTAGTTTAGAAAGGATGCATTGTTGAAATGGTGTAGGAAAACTAGTGCTTGCCATTTTGATGCAAGTAGTTATAGAAGGCATATGTTACTTAACCTTATAGATCTAGTTACAAATTTGGTGTTATTTGTAAACCGAAAATCCCGATCCTTCGTTTCTTTAACCGATCAAAACAAACGCCGATAAAAATGCAACGTAGATTTGTCTGATTCATATTCTGTATCTCGTATTCTCAAGCTTTTGTTTTGGTACCTCAATACAATATCTCAAATGTAAAACTAAAAGTACGTGATGCATAATAACAATCGAACCAAACTACGTTGCGATTTCATGCATGCTCAGACCAGATGCGGACCTGGATTTTCTTCTAAGCAGTGACACAATTTCACTGTAGAAAAATATCTAACGAAAGTTTTCATAATATTAGCATAGATCTGTTGATTGGTTTCTTGTCATTTCATATAGTTTGACAATGAGACTCCAACCTGGACCTTTTGTACAAAGATAGAATCTACCATCGTAATCTTTTGCTTAAATTTCAGTTCAAAAACGTATGGTGGCACCGTATTAATCAATGTAGGTCCGATCCTGGCAAAAACATAAACTGTGGGGCCGTTTACCAAATACTTGCTCGGATAAACGCTTACCAAGTTACATTTTGTTACCGGATGAATATGACAAGGACAAAGAATCTTATATGATAAAAGCGAAGACAAGAATCGAGAGTCTTATCCGACAAGTGATGGCGACGACTCTTACTACGGTTTGCGCTTACCGGGGAAATTATTACTTACGATGTCGTTTTGGCAGACTAAAATCTTACCCGATAAGTAAGCAATAGAGTTGAATTTTACCATTAAACGCTTATCGGGTAAGTGTTTAGATGAACAACCCCTATCTATACTATATTATAAAGCGTTTGACAAAAACTATTTTTTATACATGAAGTATTGTTTATTGATGCATWTTACTTAAAATTCAATAGTACAAGTAATTTTGCGTAAATACAACTTATTAAAGCTCTATTTTTAAATTTGTATAACTAACTGCAAATAAACATATAATCAAATACAAAATAAACGTTCATTTTAAACATAGAAAATCTATTAAACATAGAAAATCTAAATATAATATAATCATTGAGTTCTTACATAATGTTTAATTATTATATTTATAAAAAATTATCTTATTAAACCAAAAATAAATTACTTTATTATTAAATCTAAATTGAATTATAATAATAAAAAAATGAAGTAAAGAACTTATAGCAAAGAACGAAAACTATTAAATAGTTAATTTGATACCAATATCGATTTATTTTTTTTCAAAATTTTATGTTATCTTCAAATTTATATTTCATTCAAAAATAAAAACATCATCGTTTTTTTCAAAATAACATAAGACCATATTATAATATCGACTGAGATAAAGAATAAAATAAAATATTAAAATCAAGATATATCTCGCTGCTTTGCGCGAGTACCCTTCTAGTATATATCTAAATGTTTGGGATGACACATCTTAAATACTAAAATGATTTGATTTTTTTAATTTATTAATTTTACAATTGAATTATGATAATCTTATATATCTATACTATATTATAAAGCATTTGGTTAAAACTCTTAAAAACTCTTAAAACT